TCAATGAATAATCCTCTTTTTGAGGTATGAGGCATTTTATCAGATGGTCATGAGGGTGATGATAGAGATAAGATATTTAGATATTTAGAGAAAAGAAAGACCTTCAGTCGTACCCATAAACCCTCTAATAATCTTTATCTTGGTGGAGAGGTTATTTCTTTGGTTGCTCATATCTGCTGTCAATTGTAATGAAAATTTAAAAAATATACTTATATCTTATAATTTGACTTTTTATATACTAATTATGGGTTGTCTCATAATTTTGACTTACTATCATATTGTGATTTATTATCTTATAAATGTTTTCTCTTACAATGTTTACTCTGGCATTCATCTTATTTTTTCTTTGACTGGCAAAAATAGGTTTCCATAATATCTAAAAATTAAAAGCATTTTTTACCATATAAATTACAAAGTTAGGGTAATATTATATACGATTGTAGCAAATTACTACAGTTACAATATGGATCAGTTTAGATAACAAAGTGAACATTGCATTAATCCAGAATTTGTTCACATGGGTGGAGCAGAAGAAGCTGTGAACATAACACTGTCATGTTGACACCTCGTGAAGTTGTTCTGATAAATTTGCCAGCAAACAGTTCAACTGAAGAGTGTGACTTGATGAAGAAAAGCACATCTTATCAAAGATGATCTCAGTATCAACATCTGGAGAGAATTGTATAAGCATACTCACTTCTGATGTACGTAAGCAACGCTCTCTTCCAATTGATACATTGGCTCCCCACTCATCGCCATGGAAACCAAGCTTTGTGAAAGCGTTTGTTCGTATTCTGCACAGCTCTGTGTGTGTCTGCGTGCGTGTGCCAGGGTAATAATAGTCAATCCCGCAAATTCCATTCTCACTCTTTCTCAGACAAAAATCTCCTTGAACCTTCACCTGTGAACATCACACAAGCCAAAGCAAAGCTACAGGTGCTTTCATTAAACCCACTACCTCAACAATACTGTGATTAACGTCTACACAGTATTGCTCAGTCTGTGTGGCTGCGTCTTTTTCTCCCTCCGCCTCTCTCCGAACAAACTGCTTACCATGACCGAGAGTTTCATCATTCCTCACCACATCGTCTTATGATCCCCATCAGCTCAACTCTCTTCTCTATACTTCGCTCCCCATTCTTTCTTCCTCTCCTCCCATATCAACTTAAGATCAATTACAATTTTCTTCTCCTCGCACGGCACAGCGCAGCCCAGCAGCCGTCCGAGTGAACCGAACTTCAGATCGTTTTTCATCGCTTTGACACAAAATGAATTCAATGACCACGTCTTTCAAAATTCATGAATTCATGAATTTTTCCTCACACAAGCTCTCATCAGTTGTCTCTGGGCTCTATCTAAAGTCTGTTTTACATAAAGTCTGTTTACATAATTGTTTTCTTGTTATTATTTCATTACTGTCTATACAAAGAGGAGGACATTTAAGAAGACGTGGTTTACATGAACATGAGCAAAGATAGTGTCTGACAGAGGATATGGAGTGACCGTGAGAATGAGAGGCGTGTGTGACAGGAAGGCCATCTGTCCTGTGGTCTCTGACGAGTTTAGACCAAATATCATTTCTTATCCTCAGTAGATATTGAATGCATATGTGTTATTTTTATAAAGAGTTTTTCTCATGGCAGAACTGGGTTTACTGCAGATCCAGTTTTCTCATTTGGTGAAAAAAAAAGCTTAATTTCCACATAGTATCATATATACAGTATATACACATAACTCTTATATGACTCATTTGACTGTATTGTTGATGGGAAAAAAACTTTGCATGCGTCACAGTTAAGATGAAGTACTTTGGTTGTTCTCTGAAAGTGACATTTCCTTTGTGCCATTTTGCATGTGAATGAAAATGTTTGCACAGGGATAAAAAAAACTGAAGTCAGTAATAAGAGTGTGTTACCAATTACAAAAGGTAATATTCCCTATTCCCATTTAATTTCCACTCCTCCTTCTCTGTCATTTCTTTTTGTAATGCCACAATGCGCAGCCCAATGATTCTTTTTAAGACACACTTGTACTGAGCGACATCGAGGGAAGACAGCGTGACAGATTATGGAAGACACAGTCGAGCAGCTTCAGTTTGGGATTTGATCCCAGGGGAGGGAGATATGTGACCCCTGAATTTCGGGGCCTAACTGCTGTAACGTCTTTACTTTCCTTGGCTTCCCCCCCAACTTTCCTGTCTTTTTTCCTCCTGTGTCTTTTAAAAACGTTTCTCAACTTTTAACTCTTCATATTAGAAAGGAATATATGTATATATGTATATGTATATTTTATTGCCTCATAATTCAAAGAACAGAAAGCACAAAAGAAAAGTTCAATTTCTGCAGGGGTGCTAAAGTGCAGTGCAGATGAATTTTGAATTGAATGTAAATGAAAATGGAAAATATTAAGAAACGACACATTTTGGCTGCTATTAGCCCCAGATGCTACTGTTTCCTTAGCAGTAAAAAGAAGAAAATAAGGCTTTTATGATTATTAGCAGTAATTTGAGCCATTTCAGGGGATTTCTGGGAAAATTGCTATGCACTGTTGCGTTTGCTTCCTGATTATTGTGCATCCGCCACCCAGGAGCAAATCTGTTCACTAGTTAAGCACTTCAGGGCAAATCAGAGCTTGCTCTGAACTCACATCCCTCCAAAGCTCAAAATGGCATGTCCAATGGTGGTCTGCACACTAACCTACTGGATCTGTAAAAAACAACATAATTGCGGGGATGGAAGCCCACAGGTCCTGCCAGCTTTACATCTTTTACGGAATTACATGGTGGGGCGAAAGGAAAGTCAACCAGCATACTGCAGTGTCCTGCTGCCTATACTTTGCCTGTCAAACTGCTAACAAGCACAAATGATTTTTTAACGACAGGCCCCTATTCCACAAAGCTGTCTACTCACAAACACGCTTGCACACATTCGCACCCGCACACATCCATAATGAGTTTTATCAAGGGAAGTACATTTGGTTTAATGGATCACTGCAAATGCCATTCCCACTCACACTGTTGTATTCAAGTTCCAACAAGATGCTCCCGTCTCCCCAGCATCACCTGTTTTTTTGAGATACAACATGCGGCGCAGGAATCCTCCAAATGATGATGAATCTCAGGTGCAGGAAACTAAAGTCCCCATTGAGCAGAGAAACAGGAGAAACTGCATGTTCAACCATGCATTGTTTATAACAAGTAATTGGTCTTTATAAATTAGTGTTTGTTAGATTCTGTGTGGCCTGTTTTTTTGCTGTAAAAAAATCCTGACGGTTTGCATAGGAAACGGTGTTACTGCATTAGACAGTGAAACATGATCCATGGCACAGGAGTTACAGATGAGAATAATTCTTATTAGACCGCAAAGCGCTGTACAGGATGTTATAATATCACAGTGAAAGACCTCACTTATATTACTCTATTTTTACTGTGGCAGCAGGCATTTTATTTTTCTGTTTGATGATGATGTGGAGCAGCAGAATGTTCACAACACAAAGTAGTCGTATTTGATTGGCCAAAGCAGCATCTTACAAAGACCAAACCTCATTCAACCTCAAGTCCTCGCCAAATAGTTATGTTTAGATTTGCGTAACACAGTCCATGTAATGAGACGGAGTAAACGATGAATCTTAGCACAAGTGGGCCACTGTTCATTTTCCATTTCTTTTCATTTGACCCATGTTCGGAAACGCTAACCAAGTGTTTATTGCTGTAACCATGAAGACAGATCTCTTAACCTTCACAAAGTATCCATTAAATTTCATTATAAAACATTGAAGTTAACAAAACTTGTTTTTGTACTCAACCAATTAACCTTTGCATTGTCAAATCTTCAAACTGATGGGATGTTTTTGTGTTAATTTCTCAGAGAGTAATTTATTGATCTTGATGGAAAAAAATCTGGCATGTTTAAGGGGCTGATATACAGTATATGAGTGTATGAAATGTTTTACAGATCCAGATAAAAATTCAGATCGAGTGAATTAAATGTGGGTTTAGAAGGGAACTGTTGGGGCTTGGTGGATGTTTATAATTCTGCCATGTGCCATTCTAGCTTGTGATGGTTTTTAAAGACATGAACAAATTATATTTTCTTGTCGATATGAGTAGCATCAGGTCTTCGATGTGTCGTTCCTTATTGCACAGATAAACAGCGCATGTTGTTGGTTCATTTGAGGGACTAGTTGCACAGTAGTGTTTATTCACACAGTTATAGTTGGTCTCATCGTGCTTTTAACCGGCTGAAATCTGCTTGTGTTCTGCCTTTTTTTTGTCGGTTCCAGCCCCCTAAATTCAGCCCCATTTATATTTGAATTTGTGTGAACATCTACTTACAAGCTTGTATTCTCGTCGACAGTATAACCTGGTGACTCGTGGCTCTCTGTTCTTTCCTTTCTCTCACATTTAAATTGCACACCCTTTCTTCCCCTGTGTCCTTAATTTTTTTTTCAGCCTATATCACATTCTAATGCTTATGTCTTCACACACATTTTGACAATATAAACAATTTTTTTAATTCTGCTACATCATGGGGTGTTTTATATATATTCATTTCTACCTATTTATTTTAGTATACCCTGATTTTAATTTTAATTTGACAGATTTAGGCACTTCTCACACCTCATATTGTTTTTCCAGTCAAGTCACCCCCTGCTCTTTTGTTCTCCACCTCTTTCTCATTATCCCCTATTTCTTTAAAAAATCTGTTGTGTTTCTCTGTCTGCCTCCAGCTCTATACCACCGTACCATAGCACAGTCCAATTCATACATACACCACATACATGTTGAATGCATGGACGTGCACAAAGGACGGACAGATGGTGGGCAGTCCAAGGCAGCAAGGCTCAGATCAGACATTACTGTGCATTATAAGCGTGTGAATGACAGTGACAGTATTGTACAAAGAGAAAGGCATTGATCTGATTAGAATGCAGTGCCACATTTGCCCCCACATCTGTCATAATATCATGTTACAAACATGCAATTGGTTTTCTATTTGCAGAATAACTGAGATGGATTTTCACGTCTGCCTCAACCCCCCACACCAATCCATCTCCCTTTGAGTACCTGTAGATTGCTACGACGTCAGGCCGCGTCTGCCGCTGATGGTGATAAGGAGTGATTGGATTTTTGCATGTGTAATCACTGGTTATGGAATGTTAATTGTACAGAACGGTGGCCTGTGGGATGTAACATTAGACATGTGTGCCAAGCGCATGCAAACACACACACACACACACACACACACACTCACACACTCATGTAATGTAACTGTCTCTGCATAGCGTTTGTATAGACTAGAAGATGTCATTGTAGTGGGATTGGATGATTTGCATAAAGGCTCTTCCCAATTGTGCAGTTGACACTTATCTAGCGAGCGGGTTAATTCAGGCTGGTGCTGACTGATGCTAAAGAAGAAGTNGTGTGTGTGTGTGTAATGAATAGAAAGAGGGAGACATTGAATGAAAAGAGGGATATCAAGTACAAACTGGATGAATAGAGAGTTCAGAAAAACTATTGGCTATATTTTCTTATATTAGTTTAGTTTGGTTATATAATAGTTCCAGACTCTTAAACGAAGAATTTCTACAATTTTGAAAAACCTTTTCAATCAATTGTCAGTTGTCAGTAGATACCAAACAAGTGGAATGGATTCAGCTTCTTAAACATTTAATTTTGGGTCACTCAGGACTCTTAAAACTAACTCGAAGCCCTGAAATGACCTTTTCAGTGATATTTTGGTTGTTATGCAAACTCAAATCTGCCACAAGATTAATGTAAATCTGGTTTAAGCTTAGCGTCTCAGATGGATACTGGATCATTCACCTGTCTGGCCTCCACCCACACACACACACACACACATACACTAATACTTTGTGATAAACTTTAACTTGGCAGGATTGTACTGTTTATAAAATGAACCATGACATCATACATTATTATTTTACATCTTAAATGTACCTAGATATTGATATTTGAATGACATTCAGTAGAAATAACAATTCAAGAGTCAGGTTTTTTTTAACAGAAGCAAAGACGAATGAGTGTTGCAGATGTTTCACAGACTCACGGACTGACTCTGTTTCCTCTAAACAAAAATACTTAGCTGCGAACTACGACACAAACTTCTCTCTCAGGTCAACAACATGCTCCAAGACTCTGCTTAAGCTTTTACAGAGGACAAATACCCCCCCCACCCATTAGAAGCTTTGTTTTCCATGTCCAGATGGCCACCATACAGTAACCACCCCCCCAACACACTCACACACACACACACCATGTCCAACTGTTTTAACTACAGACAGCTCAGACAGACCAACAACTGTCATTAAGAGCATGGGCCAGACGTGGTGTGTGTGTGTGTGTGTGTGTGTGTGTGTGTGTGTGTGTGTGTGTGTGTGTGTGCAGGAGGAGGGGCTATAATAAGCCAACAATTGGTTGGGCCTTTATCTGGCAGGCTACTTGGGCCACTTCTTACTCAGTCACACTAACTGGAGCCAAAATCACTGACCAACACTCAAAGACTCGTCTCAACTCTGGAAAATAAACTATTTTCATTAAAGTTCATCACTCAGCTGTTATGCAAATTAATCACAGCGTCATGCGTGTCTTCAATTTCCTTTTTACAGTATGTAATATGCCAATATCATCCATTATTGATCCCCATGGAGTAAATTCAACAGCCCAAGTATAGAATAAATACAGCTCCAAAATAAACATGTATAACTAAGTATACTTGTATAGCATGTTACAAATAACAAAAAAAAACAATGCAAATGTACTTAACTTCTGTTAAATATTAACATACAGAGGAAAATACAGAAATGGTACCAGGAAAAAAAACCTGGCTCTGGAATCTCACCTGGTGATAGTGATAACCACCCCGAGCACTGTGATAGCGGTAAGAATGTGCTGCACTGTCAGAATGTCCTCATCATAGACTGTCAGTGCAATGAGAACAGCCAACACTGAGCCTGAGAAGAAGGCCACGTTCTTTGCAAATACAGTCAGTAGTGGTGATGTGAAGGAGTTCATGTATTTGGAAGTGGGTTTGTAACCACGACCCAGGCGTCCATGCAGCTCATGATCCAGCTCGTTGAAGTGACGCAGGTATAAGCGACCGTACAGGGACCAGCGTCGTGCACCCAGGCTTCCAGGTTCCCTGCGGATGACTTCTGTATAGCTGAAGAAAGCGTAAAGCACCTGCCACACTAAGATGAAGGGGCACAGCAGCAAATTGGCCAAACCCATCAGGAGAATGACTCTGCTAAGCTGCTGGGCGAGCTCTAGACGGTTCCCGTTCCGCTTGTACTTTGGGTGCAGGTTCCACTTGTTCTGAAACAGAGAGCCAGGACCCCAGAAGAGGATGAGCTCAAAGTTGTACTTCAGGCCCTGGGTGAGGAACACCACATTGCCCAGCAGGGGGAGCTGGAGCTGCACTGGCAGCAGTGATTTGTTTATCATTGCCACCATGTAGTTCTTGAATCGCAGGATGCGGTGGTAGATGTCCAATTCTGTCAGCTCCTTCTTGTGTATGCACATCTGCTGCTCTCGTTGCAAGCTGATGAGCCTGTCCTGGACTTCCTGCCATGTGAAGTTGCATAGTTCATCCTGGGGACAGATGTAATGAGCACAAAGTAAACACAAGACAACACAGCAATGAGTACAACATTTTTTTTTTAACAAGCCTCCAGACTTAGCACTTACCATTCTGATCTTCAGTGCTTTGATATAGAACTGCCTGATCTCCCAGTAGCTCAGGACATTGCAAAAGACCTTAATAAGTCGATAGATCCAGAAAATCGCTGCCATGATGAGAAGAAATATAATCCAGCTGTTGTCTTGAATTCTAAAAAGATGATGTGCACAAATAGTTAATATAGAAAAAAGAAAATCTATAAAAAACACAAGTGGTCAAGAGATTATTTAAATTACAGTGGCTATTCAACAGCAAACATGATTTGGT